GGGAGGGAGCGTACATTCCGCATATAGGACGCACCAGCTTCCCCACCCTATTTTGGGGAAGAAAAAGTGCCTCCTATATGCCGAAAAATATGGTATTTCTCCATGCTGAAATTCATTTTGTTAGTTTTGGGCCAGCTTTCTAATCTATTTAGGTCATTTTGAATTTTGATCCTGTCTTTTGGGGTATTAGCTACTCTTCCTAATTTGGTATCATCTGCAAATGTGATCTCTGCTAGAGAGAATGTGGCAACCCATCTTCATGTTCATCAGGTAATATTTTATTTAGTATTGACTAATCATTACTAATAATTTCAGTAGCAGTTGTGAACCCCATGAAGGTCTGCATTGTGTACCTTTCTTACCATTGACTTGCCCCAGTTTCTCTACTGGACACCTTCCACAATTCTCTAAACTTCAAAATAGGGAAAATTCTTTGCCAATTTTCTTCTCAAAAGAAAAATGGAACAATTTTAGCAAATTTCTTTTCTCTGCAAGAAAGTCTTTGGAAACTAAACTGTTTTTGAAGACTGTTCACAGTCTAAGACTTAATTCTGTGACAAATTCATACATGGCTGTTTTGTAAGAAAACAGCATTTTCTTTGCAGGAAACAAGATTTTATATTATTTTCTTCAGGGGAAAAACTGCTGCATCCTGTGCAAAACAACTATGTATGAGTTTACTATACAGTAAGGCTTGAATTGCAGCTTCTCATCAGTTCAAGATTCTTCTTGTCAGCTGGGTTCCTAACATTCAAGAAACGTTCTTTGAACACTTTTCTAATTCTTCCCATTCCTTCTTCAGAATATGACTCACCTGTTAAATGCCATTTCACATTCATGCTTATTTGTTACTTAGAATTGTGTCTATTTATTCTAATAAATGAGCAAGATGGTATACAGAATGGTATACTCAGCATCTATATCAAGATGACCAAATTTATTGGCCTAGATAAAATTGCTAGTTCAGACTTTAGAGCAATTGAGCAAATGTGATTTATACACAGGTTGACAATACTGAATGTCCTGGCTGCATTGCACCAAAAGCCCAGCTAGAATCCATGCTCAGCTGGCTAATTTGCACTCTCGACTGTGCAAATCGGCCAGCTGAGTGCAGATTTTAGCTGGGATGCAGCCGGGAGGCAGCATCAGTGGCAAAATGCATGTGATAATACCCAACAACATCCTGGAATAGACTTCAAAATGGACGAAGTAAGTCACATTTTTTTAACCACGCAATAATCTCCATAGAATCAATGGGTCCACTCTACTTGGGATTAGCTGTTGGATATAAGCCATTCTACCTTAATTAAGATTTATTATGTGTTTGATTTGTTTCTTTTCAAATCTACCTTACTTCTGTGAACTCAGGTAGCATACATCATTTTCCCCTACATATTTTCTTTGAAACAACCATGCAAAGTAGGTTATATTGAGGGATAATCAGTGAACGTCACAGCTAAGCAGTTACTGGAATCCTGGTCTCCTTGACCTAGGGTGCATCTACACTGTAAAAATAATGCAGTTTGACATCACTTTAACCACCACGGCTCCCTCCTACAGAATCCTGGGAACTGTTGTTTTGTGAAGCACCAGCACTCTATGGCAGAGAACTCTGAAGGTCTTGTAGGACTACAAATTCAAGGATTTCATAGGATGGCACTACAGCACGTAAAGTAGTGTCACTGCATTATTTCTACAGTGTAGGTGTAGTGGTTTGAGTATTGGACTATGACTCTGAAGAGCAGGGTTTGAATCCTAATGGATGACCTTGGGCAAGTCACAGTCTCTCAGCCTAAATGATAGCAATGGCAAACCTCCTCTGAAGAAACTTGCAAAAAAAATCCTATGACAGGTTCACCTTAGGGTTGCCATAAGTCACAAATGACTTGAAGGCACATAGCATCAACAACACTCTATGATTCTGTGTTTTTATTATGTGGTCTAAGCAAACTACAGAGCATTTAAAAATGCAAAGAAACACTTATACATACTTAGAAAGTTTGACTGAGTTGTAGCTCTAAGCTGTAGCTCCCAGAACACATGTGAACTTATGTCAGAGAGATTCAGGTAACCAGACTTTTGTCCTACATGTTGCTTGAAAATGGAAGCAATAAATACTGTCATTGTCATAATACGGTACCTTGTAAAGTAAGAGCAGGGCGAATATGCATCACCTGCCATGTCTCAATATTAGTATCAAAAGAAACATCTAATTTTTAGTGTCACATTGTCAGCTTCATAATTTTCACTCTAAGGGAACCAAAGGTGTGAGAATAGGACAGACAGTTCTTGCAATTGGCAACTTCAGTTCATATTTCTCATGATGAAACCCCAGCACCTCACTGTCACAAAACATCTGGCTCACAATTCTATAACTGGTTTCTTCTCATTTTTTCCCCAAAAGTAATATGGTGCTCTATAATTCTATTGATGAAAAAAAAAATCAATACACTCACTCCTCTTGGTACAAATGGCAGGAAACTGAAGGCAAAAGACATCAGGCTGAAAAGGTTCTAACTCTTCAATGCTAACTCTAACTCTTCAATTCTGGGAGTTGTAGTTTTGTGAGATATTTAGCTTTCTCTATCAGAGATCTCTGGTGCCACAACAAACTACTAATCCCAGCATTCCATAGCATTCAGCCATGGTCACTAAAGTAATGTCAAACTATAATATTTCTGCAGTCCAGATGCAGTCTATCAATATTTTCCATACTTTATTGGGATTAATTCTGTTTTCCCAAAAGTTTAATCTCATCGATGATCTACAAGTTCACCTTTGGTTTTACAGGTGAGAATCATTCTTTCAGATGTTATTGGATTTTAACTCTCAGTATTCCTCACCTTTGGGTATGCTACCTAGGGATTCTGGAAAGAGCAGTCCAACAACATCTGGAAGGCAGGATTCCCATCATTGCTTATGGAGAAGGGTGGGCTACCTGGGAAGAACTAGGGGCCATATTTCTTCCTGGGATTTGTCATAGGCTGCATTACTTGCTCCCTAGCAATGCCAAAAGGAACCAAAAAAATTGAAACTGGAAGTGAACAGAAGCCACTTCAGGTTTCATCCCATCCCATTATTTTTTGCTCTTTTGGATTAAAATCTCGTTGGGGAGAACAGCAGGATATTAAATATATGTTGCTGTTCTGTGCCTTCAAGTCGTTTTTGACTTATGACAACCCTAAAGTGAACCTATCATGGGGTTTTCTTGGCAAGATTTGTCCAGAAGGGGTTTGCCTTTGCCTTCCTCTGAGGCTGAGAGAGTGTGACTTGCCCAAGGCCACCCAGTGGGTTTGCGTGGCTCAGCAGGGATTCAAACCCTGGTTTTCCAGTCAAAGTCCAATGTTCAAACCACTACACCACACTGGGTCTCAATTAAATACATACATACATAAATGCATACAGCCATAAGGATGTGCACCTTGTTTTATAGGAGACCTAGACTTCCTGAAGTTCAGTTCTCCTTGTTTTATTGTTTTTCATGGGAGCACACGCCCTTGGGGCCATAAAAATGAGTGGAGCTGCCATGCAACCCCAGTGGCTATGTGTTCCTACTTGAGGACGATGCAGATGGCCCCTAAGGGGCGGCTGTGTGCCGCGGCCCTGATCTGGCTTTTTGCCACTCCAAAAAGAGCTCCTAAATTAGGGTACACAACTGCATGGGAGCCAGGGCCACTTTTCCATCTGCATGTGCCACCCATAATGTGCACCAAACTACTTCTGGTTATTCCTTTTGCTCTTCCAAAATGGAAACAGGAAGTGATATTATATCGCACCCTGTTGCTATTTTGGAAGGGAGTTAAAACTGTGAAGTAGCTGATGGGTGTGGATGGTTTTGGGGGTGGATGGGGAGCACACATTCATGTTTGTACACTTCTAGGGCTTTGGACTCATATTTTGGTCACACCTCACCCCAAAACAGGATGACCAGAGGTCCTCTTTTCCCCAGACATGTCCTACATCTCAGCCTTATGTCTGGGCGTCTGGGAAGAATTGCAAAACATCCTCTGTTTTGAGCAATAAAACCTGCCCTTGTGTCATCTGGTGCCTCCAACTTAACAGATTTATTACTGCAATAGCTGCTGCAAAGGGCTGAAGAGAAGATTGTCACTGACCATGTGGTGGTTTTGTTTGTTTTTTCTGACAGAGGTGTGGAAAGAAAAGGAAGATCTGGGTAGTTCCAGCAGATCAGCAGCACAGAGGGAAAGGGTGTGTGTGAAAGTGTGCAATTTGAGTTGAGGAAAAAGCAGGAGAGATAAGAAAACAAATGGGAAAAAAATGAAAGTAATAATTTAAATGCAGATTCAGTAAAGGGTTTGCTAGTAAAGTTTGCTAGCTTGTTGCTAGTAATGCAGGTGAGATTCAACCTTTCAGATGTTATTGGACTTCAGCTTTAAGTATTTGTTTTGCTCAGAGTTCTATACATATATTGCAAGTCATCAAGACATTTTAACAAAGATCATCAGAAAAATATGATTGAGTAAATAATAAAATGCAGAATATGTAGTATAGCTGTAAATAAACCATAGGAAATGAATTTATATTTATATTGGTTTTTTTAAGCTTTTATTTGGTAATACCCTACATTTGTCTTGAATGTCCTACATTTTGTGGTGTCTTGTCCTCCTTTGCAGTTAGGACAGCTGGTCAACCTACCCAAAGACACGCTGAATTAAATGGGGGACAGTTCCAGGGTTGGTACAGGACTGGTAGAGGGAGTTCAGAGGCTACAAAACTGCCTGCAGTTCCTCCAGCCCTATCCTAGAACAAGAATTGTAGCTAAGGCAATGCTTCATCGGTATGCAGAAGACGTAACTCCTATGGCTCCATTTCAGGGAACCTCTTGCTAGTTTATAGTGCTGAAGGACTCAACCATGATCTGGGGGGGAAGAGGAGGAGGGAAAAGCAGGATTGTTCTTAATTTACTCCAACCAATCAATTAGACACTTTTCTTGTAATTATAGTAAAATGCACACTTTAAACGTCCAGTCATTAAATAAAGCATTGAAGGCATTTCATGAACTGTTAAATACCAGGTCTCCGTGTTCTCTCACCTCAAAAATCAAACCACCAACACATTTAGAGGACATTAAAAATGAGAAATAGCCTGAAGATAAATCAAATGCTAGCAGAATTAATTGCATTCCCTTTCTACTCTCCCTCGTTGCATGAAAGCTTACTGAAGTTAAGGTTTGTTTCGGTGACTCCAGAAGTCACAAAGAATGTGAGCTGCCCATTTTCAATCCTCTTCCAAAAAAAAAAA